TTTTTTTTGCAGTTTTCTTTTCTATTTTTGAGTTGGGAGGTAAAACCAAACACTTAATGACTGGCCCCACAGGAAAGAGTGAGGTTTGTTTCCCGTAAAACTCAATGTTCCCCTCAGCTTCACCTCGGGGAACACTGAGGGTCTTAGGGAAACAAAACTCACTGTTTCCTACGGGGCCAGTCATTAAGTGCTTAATACTGTAACACTTAAGTTGGCTTTTAGCAAATCACCTCTAGAATGGCTGCTGACTGAAATATCTTGAGGGGTTTCTCCACAGAGTCATAAAGTCCTATGTTGGTCTTCTTCTTTGCCAAGTGTTGCACTGAGAGGACAAGAATCACACTCCACCTGCAACATAAAAATGACATAAATGTAGCCCACAATTTACCAGAATTTAACAGTTTAAAATCCTTGTTAATCTGGTAGTCGGATAACTATTGACAATAGAATTTGTTTTTTCCACATTGCATAGTCAATCCAACGTTTCGAAATCCAACTCATTGAATTGAATTGAACCCAATCCGTAGATTGAATTCAGCAATGTGCAAGTTTGATTTCCTAACCAGTTGAACTCAGTAGGACAAATTGAACCCAATAGAACTCAAAAACAGTGTTATACTGAGGTAACTCAAGCCTCAAAAGTCCAGAAATTAAACGTTGATTGTTCAAAATTGAGTTTGATTGTCCAATTATTTTTGTGTGAGTGTGATTTTGTTCAATTGCCAAACTCAGTCGAACTCAATCCATGGATTTTGTTTGATTGAGTTTGATTGGGGCTCAACTGACTATACCAGGATAAGTTCAGCTTGCAATTTAACTTACTTTGGTCCAGGGGACTTACAAACTAGGTCACTTTGATTGTCTGGTGGCTATAACTTGATTTAGCTGAGATTTTAAAACTATGTACGATGGTATCTAGTGTCAAGTGTGGTCTCTGAAAGTATATTTGCAAACCCTCTAACATGGTGGCTGTAGATTCAGTCTAAGGTCCATTTCAGACGTCATGCTTCTGCCATGCCGAACTAAATTACTTCTGCAATTATGTATCTATCATAATTGTTATCTTTGGTTGATTGTAAGGCAAGCATTTAATGACCTAAAGTTAATAATGACCATTAAAGGAGGTCTATTACCTCAAGTATTTCTGCTTTTTTATAGACTCTTCATCACTTTTTGGTTTTCAAGCCTGTTTGTGGGAATATGTATCATATATTGAATGTAAAAGTGATGGAGGTAATAAAGTTGAAAGTTCCATGAAAGCACAGCAGAAGCATGGCATCTGAATCAAACATTTGAATTAAGTTTAGTGAGTAGTTAAGTTTGACAAGCTCTGCTGCGCTACATGACTCTGGCATGGCACAAATATAAATGTTGGGTTTCTAGATAGATCTGCTTTGCCCAAAAAATAATTCATGTATTTCAGCAGGATCGCATTCCCACTGAAAGTATCCTGCAAGCAGGCTCGTGTTGGAGCACGAAATCAAGCGGCAAAGCCGCAAGATGAGAAAGTGAGCCTGCTTTGATCTCTGCAAATTTTTCATTTCCACCCTGGAAACTGCAGAAAAATAAACCAACTAATTTTTAGCGGAAGTGTGAACTTTGGCAGCTCAGATTTCATGAGAAAATTGTAAATCTTTTTCATAACAACATGCAGACATGATATCCGTTGTTGATAGCGTTTTACCGTAGAAAAGCCGTCAAAGTTAATGCCTCGCAAGGACACACACTTGATTCTAAGTGATCTTGCTTTGGCAGTCTGGTCTTTGATGATGCTGGTAAACAGGCAAATGCCTTTGTGTTGTTTTGTTGCCTGCTTGCAATTATACATGTTTGTCTTGATTCATTAACATACTTTAAACTGCTATTTCCTGCTCCCTCTTTAGTTTGAAATTTAACCAGAAATAGACTGGAACATTGTTAAAACATCAATTCTTCCTCTGATTCCAAATGTGGACGACATATTTTTTATGAGAACGTGCGGTAAATTACCAATTCCGTGGGGATCTAATCGGTCCTTATCAAACGTAACAGATTGACAGTTTTCTCACCTTTTCTGCTTCTTGACGAATGGTATTTCACTTTGCTCAGGTGAAACAGAAATAAAAAAATTACAGAGATCAAGGCAGGCTCCCTTTCCTGGTACCTCTTCACCAGGTTCCTTCCTGCCAGATTGCTTTGCTCGTCGCTGCTCGCACGCGTGACTCAAAGGTGAGCCTGTTCACTGGCTGCTCTGAAAGCAACAAGGGGGCTTCGGTAAATCCTGAATTTGGTACAGCTCTGGCACAACACTTGAATCAGAGTTGTGTTTCTGCCGTGCTGTAGTTGCAATTAAGTTCGGCAAGGCAGAGGCACGACGTCTGAAATCGGCCTAAGAGATGTACACAATATTCCAAACCTGATGTGATCACTTAACTACAAAATTAACATACACGGTCCACGGAGGCAATTAAAACATTCGTGTAGAGGTTTCACAGAAAATTCTTAGATGTATCAAAAGGGAAACATGCTTGTTTAATTTGTGGTTTCAGTACAAGCCCAGACAGGCTGGTCTGATAAGCTCGTGACCATCATCAACTCCTAGATTGTAACTCCTTCGATTCACCAGCTATAATAAATTTATAATTTGTTCCTCTTTTCATCCCCCACAGAGCTAAACCAGCTGCCAATATATCTACTCCTCTAAAGGTGGCCATGCGTTTCTTTCAAAGAAGCTGAGTGAGAATCAAAGCTTTCACTTGC